AAAAAAAAAAAAAAAAGGGTGAAGACGACTTCATCTTTCCTGGTGATGGTTCCTCACTAAAATAGATTTGAAAGCCATAGGAGCCCTCCCGGCTCATATGCAAAATACAAACCTTTGGACTCTGAGCATGGATTTTAGAACTTGAACTTTTGGAGAACAGATACTTGGCTATCACTGTAGATCTCTCTTACATGGATTTTACATTTACTCTAGAAAGAGAAAGATGGGATCTCACCCTATCACCTATGCTGGAGTGCAATGAGTGCGATTATAGCTCACTTCACCCTCTAATTCCTGGGCTCAATCAGTCCTTAGCCTCCCAGGTAGCTAGGACTATAGGCACATACCACCACATCTGGCTAATTTATTTTTACTTTTATAATTTTTTTTATAGAGGCAATGTCTCCTATATTACCCAGTCTGGTCTTGAACTCCTGGGCTCAAGTAGTCCCTCCCACCTTGGCCTCCCTAACTACTAAAGTTTGAGCCACTGTGCCCAGCGTTTATCTTTTATTGAAAGGGAGAAATGTTAGCCACTAACCTCATTGTTGGCATTTTTCCCCCCACAGGGTATTTTAGATTACCTGGATAACATGTCCCCTCAGCAAATACGAAAACTCTTCTATATTCTCAGCACACTGGCATTTAGCAAACAGGTGGAAACCAGCAGCCACATCCAGGTAAGAGGCAGTGTGTTGAGAAAGAGTCATTTAAACTTCTTCACTAGAAATTTGTTGGAAAAATCTAGCAAATGATAGCCTTACCAGTTTGTGTAATAGTAGAAATAAAATAGATAGCCATAGTCCCAGCATTTTTTTATTCTTGCCACAAACATTAAGTACCTGTTCTGAGCCTGACACTGAGATGCTAGGTATGTTAGCTCTTCTGCCTACAAGAAGCTTTGTCTATTCAGATAGAGAAAGGTCTGTGATCAGCTAACCATGAAAATGAATAAGAAAAGCCATTCATGGGCGGCGCCTGTGGCTCAGTGACTAGGGCACCCACCCCATATACTGAGGATAGCAGGTTCAAACCCGACCCCAGCCAAACTGCAACAAAAAAATAGCTGGGCGTTTTGGTGGGCACCTATAGTCCCACCTACTTGGGAGGCTGAAGCAAGAGAATTGCTTAAGCCCAGGTGTTGGAGGTTGCTGTGAACTGTGTTGATGCCATGGCACTCCACCAACGGCAATAAAGTGAGACTCTGTCTCTACAAAAAAATAAATAAGAAAAGTCATTCATGGGGTGGCACCTGTGGCTCAAAGGAGTACGACACCAGCCCCATATGCTGGAGGTAGCAGGTTCAAACCCAGCCCCAGCCAAAAAAGAAAAAGAAAAGCCATTTGTGGCTTGGTGCCCATAGTTCAGTGGTTAGAGCACCAGCTACATACATCGGGGCTGGAGGTTTAAACGTGGCCCAGGCCTACTAAACAACGACAACAACAGCAGCAAAAAAAAAAAAAAAAAAAAAAAGCGGCCG